ATTTGTTATAAAATGGGGCACACTGTAAGTGAGTGCAAGTCTGTCATCAACAAGCAACAGCAGAAATCTCAACAAAAAGCAGCTGGAGATACCTACAAAGATGGTGCTTGCAAGAAACAAGAAAAGAGTGACTGTCACCATTGATTCTACTGCCAGAAGAAACAGAATGAAGACAACTCATTAGATTCATCACAAGAAGGAAGTGCTATCCCCATGATTAAACAGTGCATTATTGATGATCAGCTCAATCTAACAAATAGGTCAACAGTGTCAGTGGTGATCAGAGCATGTAACAAACATTAAAAGGTACCAACAAACCACAACATGCCAGTAGATTAAGATCGTGTTGAGGAGAAGAAAGAGAAAGTCCTAGGAGACACTGGGTACAGCATTGAGAAACATTCTAGTATCTGATGAGAAGAGGATGAGCAAAGTATATCTGTGCATGCTGATTGATGGGACAATGAGAAAGTTTCCCATAGCAAGAACAAAGGTGGACACTCCACACTACATGGGAGACCTTGAGGCCATGTGTATGAAAGCACTCATCTATGATTTTGTGATTGTCAGTATATCAGGCAGTAGAGATGTGGATGAACCAGACAGAAAGGAGACTGATGAGGCATCATCAGTCACCACAAGTGCTCAAGAAAAGGAAAGCAAGCGAGACATCAAGCCCTGCAAGTCTCGAAAGGTGGCATCCTGAATTTAGGTCTGTGGGAACTGAAGAAAGCTTAGAAGAAAGACGCTTCACTGCAGAAACTTTGAGAGAGTGCCTGGGAGAAATTTGAGCATCAGACAAAGATGAAAGGGACTTAGACGTTAGAGGATTGTAAGAGAGTGCTGTACTGATTGGATCTATAAAGGCAGTTCTACAGGGAAGGTTGAATATATCATAGTACCACCAGAATACCAGACTCAAGTGATGAAGCCGTTTCACAAGCTGATTGTGAGAGGAGCAAAGAAATAGCAGACAGGATCATCAGCAACTTCCATTGGCCAGGAGTCATTGGAGGTGTGACCAAATTCTTCAGGTTATGTGACATCTACCAAAGGACAGTACCCAGAAGGAAGGTAGTCAAGATGACAGATAGACCAGATAAGAGATACTTTGTGCAACATAAGATCGAGACCATGATCAGAAATTCAGTCAAGATGAAGCCCTACCAGATGCCCTATGAGAAACCTGATCAGGCAAGACGTCGAGATAATGTTAGAAGCCAGAATCACTGAGCCTGCAAATTCAGCCTACTGTTCACCAATGGTAATCGTGAAGAAGAGGGATGGCTCAAACTGTTTCTGCATAAATGTCTGGAAATTGTACCTCATGACAAAGTTCATCTTTAAACTTACGGACAATCCAGAGGCTATAATGGCAAAACTAGACGGGACCAAGTTCTTTACCAAAATTGACCACAGTAAAGGTTATTGGCAGATCTCGATGGAAATATAATCTAAAGAGAATACAGCCTTTATGACACCAGTTCAAGAGGATGCCACTTGGATTAGTCAACTGTGCAGTGACATTCAACTGCAGGATGAGGAAGATGTTGCACAAAACCACCAACATCAAGCATTATCTGAATGACATTCTGATCCACATGGCCAGATGGAAATACCACCTGAATATACTTAGAGAGCTGTTTGGGTGAGTGAAGGCAACAGGTCTGATCATCAGACCATCTCAATGTAACATTGGTTATTCTGTGTTGGATGCAAGGTGTGTGACTGACTGATAGCCATGAAAGAGGAGAAGCTAACCTGCATACAACATTCACCAACTCCAACGACCAAGCAGCTAGTCAAATCCTTCATGGGGTTAGCAGGTTACTCTAGGAAGTTCATTCCAAACTACCTTAAAGTCGTTGCACCACTGACTGGCCTGACCAAGAAAGGCCAACCCAACAAGGTGAAGTGGGAACAACCATAGCGGATGGCATTCCAAAAGTTGATGAACATGTTAGGAAGTTTACCAATTCTTAGAATGCCAGACTTCAACAAACTGTTCATCATTCAGGCTGATACATCATACTTTGGAATTGGAGAAGTTCTTCTGCAAAACCATGTAGTAAGACTGTTTCCTCTAATGTGCATCAATAAAAACTGTTGAGTAGTGAGAATAAATACTCTGTGTTTGAATGAGAGTGTATGGCTATCATATTTGTCATCTAGAAATTCCAGAACTACTACTACAGGAAGGAGTTCATCATCCAGATGGAATATCAGCGCCTTGCATACACCCAGAGGGGCAAAATCGAAATTGCGAGTATCATGAGATGGGTATTGTACCTCCATAACTATCAGTTATTGCATCATAATATCTAGTAGTGAGTGGAACATTCTACACCTCAGTCGAGGTATAAATATGCATCGAAAATGTAGTTCGATACTATTAGATCTAGACTGAGTGATTGTTAGTTTAGCCATAAAGAGCATATAGTGGCGATTTTTAAAGTGAACTTATCACAGATTGTATTGTAATAACAGAGTAGAGAATAATAAGTCGTCTTGTCAAATTATGTTATAAAATAACTGAACCATTCTGTGTAGAATTTGACTAAAAAGATACAATTATTTAAAGCTCTGAATGCAAATGTGGTAACCAACAGTGTAACGAACATTTATATATACGTTTCACTTGTTTTGATATATTATTTTAAAAGAAGTGGACTGTGTGTTGTTTGTTTATTGTTGAAATTTATCGCCAACAAGTCACAGACACCTACTGTACAGAATCCGGCCTATACATAAAACCTGACAATAAAGGCTTAAATACGATATCCACAATCACCAAATTACCTTTATCAACAAATATTCATAGTAACATACTCAAGGGCTCTAAACCCTAAAAGTTACAAAAACTTAATTTCACAAGTATCTGTGTCATTCTTTGCTGAGTTTTGGGCTCCCCAGTGGCACAGCAGTATGTCTGCGGACTTACAATGCTAGAAACTGGGTTTCGATACTCGTGGTGGACAGAGCACTTGTAACTTCAAACAAACAAATAAGCTATGAGCTTTCGAGTCTCTGCTCTAGTTCTATTGGACTGCACTCGTTCCTAAACGTCATTTTGTCATCCTAATCCTTCAGTGTTGCTTCACGGCGCTCTAAACTAATTCTCTGATTTCTTTCTTTTTTTAATAAAGTTGTTTTTTCATTGATGAAATTATATGTAGGCAATATTCCCCTTTCTTAGTTGAGCTGCTTTCCCCCTTTCTGTATATTTATAATTAGTTTCCTTCATGTCTCTTTTCCTTTGTGGTTGGTCATTGTTGTTTTTGTTGTTGCTGCTCCAGCTTGTCTTGACCTGTTTTTCTGCATCGTTTACGTTTATTCTCCATTTAGTTTTTGGACAGGCGTAACTGTACTAGTGTGCTCAGATTATGAATACTAGGAATCACGGTTCGCGACCCGTTGCTTCAAAAATTCGATCCTCACCTTGGGATCGTTGAAAAGCTATAAAAGTTACTGTCAAATCCTACTATTCAATCAGACAGATGTAACCCAAGAATTGGTGGTGGGTACTGTTAATGAGCTGATTTCTTAAAATTAGGAACGGCTATGCATAGACAGTTCTTGTGAGGCTTCACTTGAAATAAAAAAAAACGATTAGTTTTTATTACCATTTTCAGCGATCATTTTCATTCTGAAGTTTCAGTTTTACCTTGCCGCATTTACTATCACTTTCATTATTACAGTTTAGCTACTTGATAGCGGCTGAATTGACACCTGTATCTCTGACCCACCTTGGGTTTATTCCAAAACACCAGTCAAGAAAAAAGTTTGCTTGGCAATTTGTCACATAGTTTGTTTGTTATGGATTTCGAGCAAAGCTACACGAGGGATATCTGCGCTGGCCTTCCCTAATTGAGCAGTGGGGAGGCAGCTAGTCATCACCACCCACCGCCAACTCTTGGGCTACTCTTTTACCAACGAATGGTGGGATTGACTGTCAAATTATAACGCCCCCACGGCTGAAATGGCGAGCATTTTTAGTGTGACGGGGATTCTAACCCCCGACCCGCAGATTACGAGTCTAGCGCCCTAACCACCTGGCCATGCCAGGACTTTGTCACATTGAGGCTGTTTAGATTGAAACTACCAAATAACAAGATTCACATTTATCCATATTTACAGATCTTATGGCGCATTATGTTATGTACAGATAATCTAGATGACTTTACTGCAACAACTGATAAGTCATTTCACAAAATTCTAAAACATGTTTGTAAAAAAAGAAAGAAAAAGAATAACATACATACACACATATATATATATATCCAGTTTTTTCTAGCACTCTGGTGCTAATGGTTGTAAGCAGTAACGGTAACATCATCATGGTGGAAGAAATGTAAGTTTTAATTCTATTTTTCCATGTTATTATTGAAAGCTGTAGTAATAAGATTTGTATGTAAGTCATTGTAAGTTAATTATACCTATTTTTTAAAGGTTTGTTTTGACATATGCTCGTCCCGCTTAATAACGTAGTTTTTATAAAGTTAACTGTAAAATTTCAGTTTTCGCTCTCAACTGTACATTTTAATTACAAATTACACTGCGCTGTTCTCTACAATGTACTTCAAGTTCAAGTCTTCAGTGAATCATAAATTGATAAAGACACACTTTAGGATTTCACCTAACAAGTTTACTCCACAAATATAGTCCACGTCGTTGCCCTAAGCTTTTTGTAAACTTTAGCTAAACCCCGATTTCAAATGTGGTTCATGTATTTAACCATTAGTAATAGTAGTGACTTAAAATTTTAATTCATTATTCAACCTAGCTTACAAGTTACAGGCAGATGGTATCTTTAGCTTTTAAGTTTTATACCTATAAAGTTAATGTTTAAAGACAGAATTCCCTACTTCTTATAGATTCATGTTAATTGATAGAAATAATAGGGTAATTAAAAATACTTTATTTATAGCCAGGCAACATTATATCAAACTGGAATAATGCCAAGTTGCAACTTTATTTAAAGATGAAATTTCCAAGTTTTGAAAATATAATGCAAAATGAATATGAGATATATAAGTTATGATACTTTGATGATCAGGCTTGTAGTTTTATACATTGATGACAAAATTGGGTAAGTAAAACATTACCACATTTGTTTTTAACTTTGTATTGAATTACATTGTGATAATGAATTGTAAGTAGTATAATGAATCAATCCATGACTAGTTATTACAAAAATAACAGATAATAGTTGACTAGCATACATCTGCTTTTTGATTTTAAAACTTTGGTAAATACAGTAATTAATATTTTAATGTAACTCTAAGATAATTAGTTATTTTTTTCTTTATGTAACCATTTCATTTTCAAGTTTTTAATTTTAAAAATTTAGCACAACATAAAATATGATCAATAAATTATAATACACTGCATCAGTAAATGAAATGCTGAAACTTACATAATACTTTTGATAAAGATTATAATTTATCAATGTAATTTATAATTAAACTTAATAAAATATAAACAGATACTATTCAACATCTGTTGTATTACTCATCAAGATTTGCAAAAATATACAATAGATATGTTAAGAGCAAAACCTACTAAAAATATTTTGAAAACAATTTCATAATCGAAGCTACAATAAGCCTTTATGGTAAATTAGCAGTTGTCAGAAGTAGAAACTATGGTCTATTAGATCAAAATTTCTAAGAAAGGTATGTACATAAACACACATAAAAAAACCAACAGAAAATATTTCCATATGGATTTTTTTTTCTTGAGACAAGAATGTCAAAGAATAACTTCTAACTTACCAAAAGTAGTAAAACTGGAAGGTATGCCTTTTGTTAATATAAATATTGACACTTAGTTTACACACTCTCAGTACATATAGAATAAAATAGTTTTACACATAAAATAAACAACCCACTTTTGAGTAACATAAATTGAAAATGTTTTTATCTTTAGTATTCCAAACTGAAAATAACATAACATTTTGAAACTTGAAACAACAGTTGGATTATAATTGGTTAACCTGAAGAATTTATCCCTAGAATTTTTTTAAAAGATGTGCTTCCACAAGGTTTAGTTAATAATACACTATAAAAAGTGATGGTTTTAATTTTTCTTATTTAAGATCAGACTGGCCAGGACGCTGGACACATGTTCGTAAGATCTTAGCAAGAACTGGACCATTTGCTCATCCAGATTTTGAACCAGGACCTGAGGTAAATTTATCTCTTCTTGATAGATGTGGTGCTTACAGTGATTGTACTGTTGAACTTAATTAACTAGGTAACAGAACAATAATTATCTTATTTATTCAATCACCCATGTCGTGAAAACATTTAGCTAATTATTTTTACTCAGGTTCCATTTTAGGTAATTTTTATCGCAATTGATTTTTTGTTTTTCTCAGTACTGATATATATTTGTTTTCATTTTTGTACTTATTGATATAAACAAAAAATATTTAAAATCTGAAATTTTTAGGGATGATAATTTTTAAGTAGTTTCAATGTAAAACACAACTAACTATCTAGCTTAAAAATTCTTTGCAATAACTTAATTGCTTGAATATTTACGTTTTCAACAGTCATACAAAATCATTTTCTTTTCACATCACAAATATTTTTCCTTTTTTTCCTAGTTAGAATAATGATCAAGTAGCTTTGTTGAATACCAAAATCTTTAGAAATCTTGAAAAATGGTAGTTTTTCTTTCCTTTCAAATATATGTGGAACTTTTCCTCCATTTTCGACCTACATCATATAACGTTTTGAACTTTAGGACTAGATAATTTCCTTCTCTTTGCCTGAAACTAAACAAGTAAAAACTATCATGCAACCAAAATTTTCTTGTAAATAATTCTGTGGTCTTAAAGAATGAACCCACTGATGGTAGGTTTAATTTTAAGCTTTCAAAATCTGTGTAAAAGAAAGAATTGATAAAACTCAAAATATTTGGCAGAGCTGGTTGCTTTAGTCATTGGAGCCACTACAATAATTGCTAGAGGTAATAATAATGTAACAGTCAGCCAGTACTTCTATGACCTAAATATTTTTGTAAAACCAAATATTGTGGATTTTATATTACTTGTTTATTTTTAATTTTAGTAGAAACGTCATTTCTGTACCCTAACATTTGAGATTTAGTTATCTGATATCCTCATGGAGTGTAAGTGATAAATCATTTAAATTTTTGGTGTCATTGTTTTAGGAATGATCTTCCCTATTATCTTCAGCAGTTACTTTAAATGTTATTTCTATATTAAAGAAATGATTGAGAAAATTTCTTTTTGTGCCTGCCATGGTAAATTGCCATATATCATGTTTAGAATAGAGTTTATTGGATAACTTAATTTTTATAGTGTTTATTCACATATATATAATGATTTCAATGCAATTTCCTTGGTACTAGGTGCTGGAATTTTTACAGAAAACATGCAAGGTTCTTGTTGTTGGGGCTGGAGGTCTAGGTTGTGAACTTCTTAAAAATCTGGTGAGATCAATGTGTTTTCTTGTATGTCCCTGTGAACTGTTGAATGTTATCATACTGTATTATAGTTAATATTTTAATGTTTTCAGTATTTCATATATCAAAAAAAAAAAAGTAGGCCAAGTTGATTCTATCATTATGCTGATGGTTTATGACAGTATGAACAGGACAATCATCTTTTCCTACTGTGGGCTAATGCATTTACATACACTAAATGATTCTTCATTTTGTCTAGTAGATACTGCTGTATTTCAAGTTGAAGAACCAGTCTTTGGTTCAGTACTCCTTACAGAAAATTCTATAGAGGCACAGGTAACACCTTATGTCCAACAGTTTAGATTCTGTGTTGTCTCTGCTTTGCATTTGTACATTTTATTTTTCATGTTTTTATACTTTTTTCTCTGGACATTTGTAAATAAAGTAATGGCTGAGGTGTTCTCTTTACCTGTAGTAGGGAAATTCCTCTCTCTACTAGACATACAGTAATATTGCAATCTCATTGCTTATGATATGAGTGTACACTGGTCTTCACCAGTCACTAAGGGAAATTCTTAAGTTAGAAAAATGAAATTTTCCTGAAGAAACTAGAGCTTCTGTTGTGGAGAAGTTCCTTTCCCTTAGAAGTTTGAGTTTTTGAAAAACTAATATGTCACTAATCCTCAGACTTTTTGGAAATACAGCTTACCAAACAAACATATACATGTATCTGTCCTTTATTATTCATAGTTTACTAGTTACTGCCTCATTTTTGCCACTTGACTTTGATTTTAACTATTCCATAATCTGTTTATAGTTTACTATAGTAGGCTAAAGAAGTCCTGGAATGACTAAATGCCTATCATATTTATAAATATGAAAGCATCTTTGAATCAGTTGATTAACATAAAATTTATTGAATTTAGTAGTTTTTAAGAATTTAAGAAATGTCATTATTATTAAAAATTAATCCATCACCATAGAAAATATATAAACAATTTGTACCTATATGAACAAGTATAAAAAAACTATAATTTTATCCAAAGTGCATAGGGAACTTAATGTTTAAATTAGGAAATTTAATTGTGGAAAAGATAAGATACTAGGACTTCTCAGAAAAGATAGTGTTATTTGGTTTGACTAGAGAAAGTAATTAGGAAGTTGTATATAAATTAAGCTATTAACAAAGTTGTTGGCATATTAAATGTTCAGAGAAAATAGAGTTGTTAGGTTCGCTAATGAAGTAATATAATAATTTTTTAGTAAATTGTTAACAAAAGCATTAGCATATTTTTTCAGAGGACACAGAGCTATTAAGTTTCATGAGGGAAGTTGTTTAAAGACTTGTATGTAAATTATTAACAACATTGCTGGCATATTAGTTGTTCAGAGAAGACAGGGCTTTTTAGTTTGGCCAGAGAAGTGTGAATAATTTGTATGTAAAATAGATTACTAAGTAAGTATTGGTATGTCAGTTGCACAGAGAAGAGAGAGCTTTTAGGTTTGAACAGCAAAGTCAATTCATAATTTGTAGGCCCGGCATGGCCAGGTGGTTAGAGCGCTCGACTCGCAATCTGAGGGTCATGGGTTCAAATCCCTGTCACACCAAACATGCTTGCCCTTTCAGCCGTGGAGGTGTTATTATGTTACGTTCAATCCCACTATTCATTGGTAAAAGAGTAGCCCAAGAGTAGGTGGTGGGTGGTGATGACTAGCTGCCTTCCCTCTAGTCTTAAACTGCTAAATTAGGGATGGCTAGCACAGATAGCCCTCATGCAGCTTTGCGCGAAAATTCAAAACTAACATAATTTGTATGTAAATTAAATTATAAGCAAAAGTGTTGGTAAATTACTTGTTCAGAGGAGATTATGTCCTTATGTTTTACCAAGAAATTCAATTAATAATTTGTATGTAAATGAAATTTGAGACAAAATCTTGACATTAATTTTTTAGACAGAGAGGGTTTTAAAGTCTGACCAGAAAAAGTCATTAATTATAGGAATTTGACCAGCAACCCACTAAAATGACTACTGTTTATGAAAAATGGTGACCACTTAAATGATAATGATGGCTAAAAATTTGTCAAAGGCTGTAATTTGCCTGCTCCTTTTTTTATAATTTTTTTCGCTTTATTTTCCAGGTAACAACTTGAATATTATTGTTTAATTAGCACAGTCCATATATTTACATTAATTGTGTGGTTGTTGAGGTTGAAACTTTCCTAGACTTGCAGATGTTTCAACTGAGAGCATTCAAACGTGTGTCAATTACAGCATTCATTCTTGTTTATTTATGTATTGTATTTCTCACTATGTTCACTAAGCAGTAAATTGAGATTGTTCAGTTTTACATAAATAACTGAACATGGTTATTCATTCCCATAAACACAATTATTTCCTTACACCAACAACAGAATTTTGTTTAGCAAGTTTCCTTCAGCCCTGATCCTCAATAGAGATGCTGATCCCTGGAGGACCAAACCCCATCATTGCTGGCAAAAGTATGATACCTAACTTCTCAATCTTAGCTAAGCTCCTGCTAAGTAATGTAAGTGGATAGAGGAAGTGGTGTTCTTTTGTTCTGTGTTCCAAGTATTGCTTGGCCATGGGTTCTGGTAGTCTCTGAAGAATTTGATTTTTGTTTTTAATCTATTTTTGAATTTTTCTGGTCCATCTAAATCAATTTAGATAAAATTAATTCACCCAGTCTTTTTTATACAGTTTTTAAATTTCATCTTCAATTTTAATAACTATTTCATGCATGTTCTTGAAGTTTCTAATCATGTAAATGTACTTGTGAAAAACGAATTATTTAACACAGCTTTGTTATTCATATAAGTGATTTCAGAAATAGAAGAGATTATTATACTTTTTGATTTTAAATTTTTTTTCAGGCATTAATGGGGTTTGGAAATATACATGTTATTGACATGGATACTGTTGATATATCCAACCTTAACCGCCAGTTTTTATTTAGGTAAGTAAACATTTATTTATAGTGAACACAGAGATTAAAGTGTAGTTTTACTATCCGTTGCTTAAGTTAATATTAAAATGAAGAAGGCACCTTGACTCTAATTACATACTTTCTACAATGCAGCTGTATTTTATATTGGAAGAGTTTATTATAGATGTCTTCTACCTCTTCTGATGGTTAGTAAACAAAGTTTCATTATCTAAGTCTGAGTCTTTGTTCAGGATTGGTGTTGGAAGCTATACTCATTCACACATAAGGGTAAGTATTATTCTTGGAAGTTAATTTGTTCAGACCTTACTTCTGCAATTGTTTAAGTATTGAAGAACAATAAAACTATAAAAAAAGAAGAATTCTCCAAGCTAATGAGAATAGCTGATTTCCTGCTCTAGATCATGTATATTTTGGAGTCTGAATTTGTTTATTTTTTGTATACTTTATTTTCTTCTTATCAGAACCACTTGAAGAAATATTACAGCCACCATTAAGTTAGAGTCACTCACGCAAGTTTGCAGTATAAAAAAGTATTACTCAAACAAAGATATCTACAAACACTTCTCAAAATCCTCTTTGCTTTTCCATTTAAAGCAATGATTACAAATAAATTTCTTTTCTGTAAACTCAGACAGTAATTTTTGTTCTGCTTTGTTTTCTGGTCTCCTTATCTATTACAGCCAAACAAATGCTGAGAAAAATAGCATTTTAAAATAACATTTTGAGACAAAATGAAAATTATACCAATACATACCTCTTACATATTTATTACTAGCTCTTTTCATCTTAATCTCTACAGGAAGCACATAGTTTTATTCACAATACAGCAGAGTACAGCTGGAGAAAGTTGATTGTCAGGATCCATGAGAGTGGAATAGGATCACATGAAACAAAATAAATTTGAGATTACTAAAACTCAAAATGATGGAGAGAGAATCAATTTAAACTATGATTGAAGAAATTGAAAATAAGCAAAAGAGTTAATATCCTCTTGAGTTTTGCCTTAATTTTGTTTATCAGGTAGAATGCTCCATGAGGTAACTAAATGACATGCAGTCAGATAAAATATTGACGTTCAGTAAGGAGCTTTTATTTGCTGGATGAAAAATGAATCTACTTGACTAACAAGCAACCCAAGTAGAGAAATTACTCAATTTACAGTGAGTAATTTCACGTGGAGGTTAATAGTTGTATGCATTCTCAAATAATATACAGTCTCCTAAATTATTCATACAATCAACTGCATATAGATGAGAGACAATAAAATAAGTATTTGGAAGGAATAGAACATTATTCTTATAAAATGGTTTTAACTTTATAATGTATGAGCTATCATTGTGAACGTTGGGTTACTATGAACTATGTTTATGTTTGAGGTAATGATGATGATTTTTTTTTTCCTTAGACCTAAGGACATTGGTAAATCAAAAGCTGAAGCAGCAGCTCAGTTCATTATGTCAAGAGTGCCTGGATGTATTGTAACAGCGTATCCTTTTATTGAAAAATGAACTTAATACTTAAATTTCTTTATAAAATGTTTCAGACATCATACCTACATTCAAGAATGTGACTGGTTTTAGTGAAAACTTAATAACCAGTAAAATTATGCTACTGATGGTTGTGAAAAAAATATTTATTACCATCTTAGCATTGTTTTCTGAACAGTTAAACGTTTTCCAGTCTTGTTTATTATTTTCATCCTTTTAAAGAAAATATTGTTTTGCATATGTTTATTTCTTAAATTTTTTGTAAACCTTTCATCTTTGATTAAGACAAGTAGCCATTTTATCAGCCAATTAAATGTCTCATATATCTACCAGAGTTTGCTGATTGTAAATATAGAATGTTAGTCTAAACTTCTGCTTCTGTCTTATTATGATTAATTATTTTGCCAACATTTAGTAGTGGTGTACATTTTAAAAAAGACTATGCTTGTTCTCTTTTACAAATTTCAGAATTATAGGCAATCAAATTAGACCTGATTTTTTCCAAAATCTATGGCTTATCTAGAAAGCACTAAAAATTAAGATTGACAAAATTAAATTTTTGTTCATCTACTGAATTATTTCTCTCTAACAGACTGAGTATGTTTATTTGAAGTGCGGAGAAATCAGTTATTTGTATTGTTTGATTTTTAGTAAGTTTGTTTTATTTAAGATGTTTTAAGTTGTTATTTAGAACCTTTATTCCCTGACCCACAAATAGCCATTTTAAGAAAATCCAGGACTATGATGAAGACTTTTACAGAAGTGAGTATATTAAACTAGTTAGAAGATAATAGATGTCAGCACCTGGAAATAATTGATGTTTTATTGTTATAAGTTGCTTATGGTAATTTATCTTGATAATACAAACTCTTGAATTGTTTAGAAATCATGTACATTTTCAAAAAGTGTGTTGACTGAGACACAATAATATGTCAATTTGTTAGTGTTTTAACTAATGAAAGATAGTAACTAATAAGAACTTGATGTAGTTAAGTATTTGTGCCACTAGTGTTGAGTGATTATCAAGTCAACAAGGTGAAGTAATTAAAACCATTCGTGCTGTTGTCTTAAATCTTCACTGAGATGGGAAGCAATTTATTATAGGTATACGGTTATATTTTGTAGAAGAATTAGAGAACAAACCTATTAGAAATGTTGATTGAAACGTAGGGTGGAGTATAGAACTATGAAATTAGCTTAGTCAAGCTTAAAAGCTTTCTCAGTGTTTTTCTATTATAAAAAAAATGATAGACGTTACGTGCAAACGAAATTAAACTCTGTAGGTTATTTTACCACTGTATAAAAATATTGAAGATTGCAGCTTCAAATGAAAGAAAAGAAAAAAACTTATTTGCTTTTGGGATTGTTTTGACTTCAAAAAAATAGTGTTCTATTCAGGAAAGTACAAGGAAAAGTCTGGGAAGCATCAAGAACAGCTGTTAGAAATAATATGGCTAAATTACAATTAAATTCAAGCCAGGCTACCGCAGCAGAGCTGAAGTGCAAGTTTGAATGTTTTGGTTCACACATAGGGTTTATTTTTCTCAAACTATTTATATCATTAGAGAAATCTGAATAAAGTCATGCTTTTGATCAAAATTATTGTGTTTAGAAACTACAAAACATCTGATTTCATCTGATAGCTAGGTTTTGACAGATTTTAAACACTGCAGCAGAAAAATTTAGTTAACATGTTCAACTATGAACTAATGTTTAAAAGTATGAGAAGATCCAGTTTTCCTCAGAAACTAAATTTAATTCAAGCTGTCCTATCTAAATGAAGAAATGTTACTGCACAATTTGTAAAAAAATTTATGCTACTGGGAAACAGTTAAATTTGTACCATTTATTCTCATTATCTTTGTTTAAGGCAATTTACATTGTTTTCAATTCAAGATATATTGGTTTGAGTGCTCTTTGTTTTTCGTGGACATGTTTTATACAGCACATCTTAAATAAAACAGTTTTACTTTTGCCCTTAGTTTTTGTTTCTGTATATCTAAAAATGTATAAAAACTTTGTTATTAGAACTTAATTTACATTGTCTGCTTATTAAACAACATGCATTTGGTCTCTTTCTCTTATCATCTTTAAGTTTCTCTCTGTCTGATCACTTTTTGGATTTTAGCCTACTTATGCAATTCAAACACATTTAATCTTGTGATACTTAAAGAACTGCTAACAATTTTTAGATGCCCAATTTCTTGATTATAGCTTATAGTTATAACACTTAAGGGACAACAAGGAGCCTGTTGGTCTGTCAAGGCTGTCATATCCACTTAAAAAAAAAACTCAACTCCACACCTGAGCAGTTAAATATTTATTAAGCTTTCCTTTAAACTTCCTTAAATTTACTGCATCTATTACATATGAAGGCAACCCATTCCAAAGGTCAACAACCTTGTTAGAAAATTAAAACTATCTAAGCTGAAGTAACTCCTACCTTGCTAGAATATATATATACATCTCCCCTTGTCTTACCATTCTCTGATTCTCCTACTCGGAAGTAAAGAAAGTAGTATAAGTGTGTGTTGGAGAAAGCCTCCCCTTGTTTTACCATTCTCTGATTCTCCTACTCAGAAGTAAAGAAAGTAGTATAAGTGTGTGTTGGAGAAAGCCTCCCCTTGTCTTACCATTCTCTGATTCTCCTACTCAGAAGTAAAGAAAGTAGTATAAGTGTGTGTTGGAGAAAGCCTCCCCTTGTCTTACCATTCTCTGATTCTCCTACTCAGAAGTAAAGAAAGTAGTATAAGTGTGTGTTGGAGAAAGCCTCCCCTTCTCTTACCATTCTCTGATTCTCCTACTCAGAAGTAAAGAAAGTAGTATAAGTGTGTGTTGGAGAAATAAAACGAGATCTCATCTTCTACCCAATATACAAGGTTGAAATGACTTTTATAAACTTTGTAATACTACATTCTTTTGGATGGGGAAGTAAAAAGAGGATGAAAAAAATTTGGTTTTTGGAACCATCTTTACATTTTCAACAAAAAAAAACAGACAAATACACATTTTCAGTTCAGAAATTTCTAAAGTTTACACGAAAGTAAAAGTATTTTTCAGTCTTTTTACTATTTTGTGTAAACTATTTGGCTAAAAAGATTGTATTTAATGTATCAATTGCTTTTTTTTTACCTTCTTAAAATAAAATTATCTAAATTTTGTTTAGGAATGTATTTTTTTTCTGTTTAGTTATGTATCTATTTGCAAGTGTTGTTTAAGCTGTGTTGCACAGTATTGATACCTTAAATGTAATATTAATGCATAGCTTTAATTCTATTTGTACTTTGTGCTTTCAGTTTAAGGTTTTACATAACTAAAATATCAATCAATTTCTACTATTTTTGAAAGTAATTCTGAAATTTATTCATTTTCTGAAAGGTTTCCACATTGTGGTGTGTGGTTTAGATTCTGTTATAGCAAGACGCTGGATCAATGGCATGCTGGTAAGTTAAATAAGTTGTCTGTTGTATTTATAAACTGGTTACTTTTTAGAAGATAATATGTCCTTTCTGTTAGAATTTACTTTGCATGTTTGCTACTGACTAAAACATTTTTAAAAATGTGACTGAAGCTTTAATTCATTTAATTTTGAAGGAATTAAACCAAATATGTTAATTGAAAAGTTTAAAATGAATGTGAGCACTCCAATATTCTGTATTCTATTAGGGTATAAAATATGTACAAGTGAAAGAAGAAGTGTTCAAAATGCTTAATCTCATGATTGTTTAATTAATTTTGAACTTCTGTTTTGTTACAACTGATGTTGAATCTAATAAATAAAACCAACTTTCTCAGTACATGCTTAAATTTAAAGGTTCTAAAACCAATATATGAAAATAAAAACATTTTAATGATATATTGTCTGTTTTGATTAATTATAAGCATGAAAAATAAATCCACAATCTGCATTTTACAAGTAGTATAACAGCTTGCCAAAACTAATTTTTGTACTTCCACAATCTGCATTTTACAAGTAGTATAACAGCTTGGCAAAACTAATTTTTGTACTTCTTGATTTACTTGCTTCAGTTACCATACTTCAGAGATAGAATTTATCAAAATTTTCATTGTAATTCTGAAAAAAAAGGTCTTTATTCTTGTAAATATACTTAAAAACAATAAATTATAAATATTTTTGTTATTTTGTATTGCTTCAGAAAAAAATGCCTTAGTTGGTTGTACACTGGCAGACATTGGCCAATTATTTTCAGTAAATGTCCAGTTTAAGTTCCTTTATTATCTGCCAATATATATATATATATATATATTTCTATCGTAAAGCCACATTTCCATTAACTTTCTATTGTAAAGCCACATTTCCATTAACTTTCTATTGTAAAGCCACATTTCCATTAACTTTCCATTGTAAAACCATGTTTCAGTTTACTTTTCAATGTAAAGCCATGTTTCAGTTAACTTTCCAATGTAAAGCCATGTTTCAGTTTTAATTTTCCAATGTAAAACCATATTTCAGTTAACTTTCCAATGTAAAGCCACGTTTCAGTTAACACTCCAATGTAAAGTCACGTTTCAGTTAACAATCCAATGTAAAGCCATGTTAACTTACCAATGTAAAGCCATGTTAACTTACCAATGTAAAGCTACATTTCAGTTAACTTTCCAATGTAAAGCCATATTTCAGTTAACTTTTCAATATAAAGTCACGTTAACTTACCAATTTAAAGCTACATTTCAATTAACTTTCCAAGGTAAAGCCATGTTTCAGTTAACTCACCAATATAAATCAAATTTCAGCATGACTAGAGGTAGCTGCACATAGGAACCTGTTCCTCAGAGAACAAGAATAAGATTCACTTGTAAAAAAAAGTACAGAACATGAGGAGAACTGATGCTATCAACTGGGATGTAACAAAGTTTGTTACAACAGATTTTCTATTGGAGACATCATTTCATGTCATGATAACTCAGATTCCATTCAGCAATAGGCACTTGGCTTGTATGATTAATATACTGTCAGCAGGAGTGTGAATCAAATCTTGTGCATGACAAAAGATTAAATACTTATCATAGTGTTAAAGCTATAGAAAAGATTATTCAGTGTATCAAAGCACTGAATACCTCATTTACATTAACCTTGTTCATTTGTTATTACATATTCCTAATTTCTAGGCCTAGCATGGCCAGTTGGTTAGGGAGCTCATCTCAATATCTGTGAGTCAGTGGTTCGAATCCCTATCTCACCAAACATGCTCGCCCCTTTCAGCCATGGGGGCATTATAATGTGATGGTCAATCCCACTAGTCATTGGTAAAAGAGTATCCTAAGAGTTGGCAGTGGGTGTTGATGAGTAGCTGCCTTCCCTCTAGTCTTTCACTGCTAAATTAGGGAAGGCTAGCACAGAAAGCTCTCGTGTATTTTTGCACAAATTTAAAACCTAATTTCTAGAAGATGATTTACTAAAGAAATATTTTATGAAGTTTTCTGTACTGATTTTGCTTGTGATTTCAAATATTTCACTGAAACAACAACTTGTTAATTAATTTAGTAAATACCATATTAATTTTTATTTGTCTTAAAAACAGATGTAAATGTGTTGATCTTGTAGTAAGTAAGCATAACTAGTAATTAAAGACAGAAAATACAACATTTAAACAACTGCTTAAATCAATCTTGCTGACTAGATTGAGCCCTTGAGACTAGTCTTCTAATCTAAAACAGAGAGAAAAGTTCTCAAACCCTCTATCAACTGTCTTGAATTTCCTAGAATTTTTTCAGTGAAGCTCCAACTTTATGCTACAGTTGTGGTGAAGTCAGAATTATAGACTTTTTGTTTGAACTTCGTTATATATACCTAAATGTTATATCATTAGAAAGCCCTTATATTGCTCTACTTGTCTGGATTTTGTTGTTGTTATTTTCATGTACTTTCAAAGACTGCTTTTTTTATTCCTTAAAGGATGCAGTCCTTTTTGTCTTCATATTTGTATGATTGTTTATTTGTTTGTCTTTGGAATCATTGTTTAAGGTTGTGTTTATGTTCAATAAGTTTTTGGTCTCACTCATCATTTAGTTTTGTAAGTGACAGTAAATATTCTCTGACTAACTTTTCATTGATTATAACTTGAATGAACACATGGATTTACAATAGTTCAAGCCTTTATTTTATCCTACCTTGTGTATCTTTTTTTCGTCCCTGAGCAAAGTATAGGCAGACTCATATTTTTTTAACTTCTTTGGAATTTGAAATGGTAGTGTATTATGTTATTAATTAACAACACATTTTATATAAAGAACATTTTGAATTGATACTTTTCTCCTTCTGTTTACTGAGTGTATATAATGAAATACAACTGTAGGGGAATTTTCTCTAGAAAAACTAGCCTGTATATTTACAGTTTATCATCCAATGAGAAGAAAAGATGGAAGCTTAGAAGGAAAAATTATAATTTCTTTTTTAGTAATTTGCTTGAAAGGTACATATTTTAAAGATGGAGGTTTAGAAGGAAACATGATAATTTGCTTGAATGGAACATGTCTGTTTGTGATACCAAAATGTACTTCTGATTCCTAAAATATAGATATTTGGTGAAATAAGTAGAATTTGTTATTTCAGAGTTAAATTATGTATCCTAAGAGCACACATTTTAATAACTTTTTGATAATAATATATGGTTTTGAATGTCTTAATGAATGCAATATACCTCTTAAGCTGGCTAATAACCAGAATCTGGTTCTGTTTTTGATAATAAAATGTCAAATGAGGGTACAAATAAAAGATAAGATCTAAAGTTGTGTAACAAAAAAATAACTTAACTCCCACATGTTGTGGTTTTGATTTTTAATCAGTTATTAATACGAAAAGTAAAACAACAACAACAAGATATTGTGACTGTAGTTTAAACTAAAGTAGTGTTATTGGGGTTCTTAAGTATATTCTGTGTTTCTAGGTTAACATTTTGAGCAATGAAGATGGAATGTTGGACCCGAGTAGCATTGTACCAATGGTTGATGGTGGTACTGAAGGATTCAAAGGCAATGCTAGAGTTGTTATTCCTGGCATGTCGGCGTGTATTGAGTGTACATTAGACCTTTACCCTCCACAAGTATGTTTTTCATTAAAAATAATAAAGACAAAAATGATGCAGCATTTGGTGCAGCCAAAATCATAAGATTGATGGATTGTCACATAAAATGTTTTCATGTTTTTTTAAGTTGTAAATATGTCACAATCACAATGAGGTACTTTTACATTTATAGAGAAATTATTTATTTTTTGTGATAGTACAAAAACATAAATTTCTTTTATGCAAGAATTATATGTGTTTGTTTGTTTGTAGTTAAGCACAAAGCTACACGATGGGCTATCCGTGCTCTGCCCACCACGGGTATCGAAACCCGGATTCTAGCATTGTAAGTCCACAGACATACCGCTGGGCTACTGGGGGGCAATTATATGTGATACAGAATCTCTTTTTTTTTAATATCAATATTTAGGTTAAACTACTAAGACACATTATTAATCTTAATTTTATGGGGGTTTTTTTTTTATTGTTTGCATATGTGTGATTTTTTGAAATACCCCTATATGATTTTAAAACATCATTACGAATAATTAATTCCTGTGGAATGTTGTATTTCAAACAGCTTTGTTATTAATCTTTATAAGAATATCACGTATTGTAAGCAGTCTTGGAAAACTTTGTTTTGTAGTAAAAGGTATTTTCTAAATTAGTTTAAGTTCCTTAATTTTGTTTCTTAGGTTACTTGTAATTTTTAGTTCATTTAGTGAAGTATTATTTTTATAATCAAAGTTTAACTTTACTGGAGATCCTAATTCGTTCATAAAATGTTTTCAAGATTCAATGTTGTTTAACATTATTACTGGCTGCTATAAAATGTAGTATATTGTGCTTTACGTACACATAATATTTGTTATCTACAAGACAAGATTTAGGAAATGAGGTGTAAATATTAAAGGATTTAGAGAAAAATTCTGTTTATGTATTGAAAATATTGTTTGCTATATGGTGCTTTAAATAAAATATTAAGAAAAAATAATCAAGTTATTTTGTAGACTTTGTGCATCTGTGAATAATTAACTCTCTTTTCACGTAGAATCTATCATCATTTGAAGTGCCATTATTAACCTACTTGTTTCATGTTACCTCACATCCCAGTAAAAGTTACACACTGAAATAGCAAGAGTGAGCAGTTTATAAATCACAGTAGTGTTTGCTTATGAAATCAGTGACTAAAAGTTGCTGAGTTAGTATTTCAAATCAAATAAATTGTAACTGACATGACTTTTCAAGATGTAATTTGCTTTTTCTTGTAGGTAAATTTCCCCTTGTGTACCATAGCCCACACTCCAAGACTACCAGAGCATTGTATAGAATATGTCAGAGTTTTACTGTGGCCCAAAGAACAACCTTTTGGAGGTTTGTTTTGAACATATCGATTTTTTTATTTGATGGAATTCTTCAGCTCAATTATTATGAATGTAGATATGTTCTGCTCCAGGTTTAATATAAGAATGTATGACACCTTTGTGTGGTGACACAAGTACTGCCAGTTTCTGGATTATTTAATGTTTAAAAAGTTAAATGTTGTATTTAAAATTTATGTAAAGATGAATACAGTTTATTTTAGTTACTTGTGATTGATAAGACAATATTTTTATAGTGTGATCAGGTTATGAGACAATAAAATAGTCTCAGAAACAGCCTGGTCAGACTTAGTTGGGATTCTTTGTTTAATAAGCCATAGTAAGGATCCTTTGTTTCATCATATGTGTTTGATGTCACTTGGTTCACTCACCACAACTTGTGTTAAAAGCAACTATCAGAACTTGTATTAAGGTGTTATTTGCTTCCTCAAATGTAAGACAGTATTGTTTCTTTTCTATATGCTATGTGGTGAATCAGTAGTTAATCTATCCTGCCATTGGATTACAAGATTCAACATTACATTTGTTGCTGTTTTGTTTATGGTCTGTCATGTGGTGAGAGCCAGTCAACTGTAACTCATAATGAATAAGCAAGTACACCAGATGTGTCACAAGTTTATTCAATACTGAAAATATATTGGATTTGTTTTAATGAGACAGTAATATAGATTTATAACATGGGAATTCCAATGATGCAGAATCTTTTTTTCCTTGTTTTTTGTCTTTGTGATGTTAAATGGCATACTATAATAACACTTGAATGTTTCTTGCTGTATATGTATTTGTAGATGGTGTTGAAATTGATGGAGATGACCCAGAACACATTCAGTGGATATATGATAAGTCGTTAGATCGAGCAACAATGTACAACATCCATGGTATAACCTATCGACTTACCCAAGGTAATGTTTAATACCTTTTTTTTAGCATTTCCACAGTTTCCACAAGTTAAAGTGAAAATAATAACATACGTTTTTATTGTATCTTTAATTTTTCTCAAAATTCCACTTCCATTACATAGATCATAATAATTAAGTTATTAATGCTATAGTGGTATTTCTTGTTGATTTTAAAACTTAGTTTTAAAGTATAACATTTTTAGAGATTCTATATCTAGTATTAAATCACTGTTTTCAAATTTTTGTGACAAATTACACTTTAATAGTAAACTTTTACAAATGTTAATCAAACTGATAGGGAGTAGCATTGTTTTGATTCAAGTAAAAACTTTTAAAAACCCAAATTTTTTACTGTGCAATTAAATATAAAGATGTGACAGTAATCGGGTAATATGTTTGGTGAAGAACCTACTAATTAAATTGATTCAAAAATACAAAACATCAACTACTGCAGTATGGAAATTCTAATGTTAATTATTACAGTGTGTCGAGCCATCGTATTAGGTCATCATCAGATAACAGTTACATTCAATAAAACTGTTTTATTGAATGTAACTGTTACCTGATGATGACCTGATACTATGGGTTAAAACAATGTAATCATTAAAATTATAATTTCTCTACTGTAACAGTTATTGTTACTGTATTATGTAATATGGTTTAAGATTGTTATCTAACATCTAAAAAAATACAGAAAGGTATGATACTTATACTATGGAAGTTCAATATGTTAAGTTAAAATGATTCACTACTTCATTACAGTGCAGTAACTACATCTGGTTGTTCTCTGTCTGACAGCTTTGCATCTTCATAACAGCCCTGCAGTTTAGTTTCAATTACAAAAGGCTGCATCATAAAGCTATTATTTAAAAATAACACCACTACTCCCTGCATGCTTTCCATACACCACAGTGTTTGTTTCAACAGTTTTATTGCACAGAATTTTATAGGTACTGCATCTGGCTAGTTGACTGATTTGTTTTTGTATGGAATGACATGAATATCCATTTCATTCTCCAACTGCTTGAGGTATGAGATGGTTTAACAGGTACATTGTTGAAGCAAATTGTTGACATGTGACTTGTGTTGCTTTTCCAGATAAACATAATTTTTGACTATGTTGAGTACTGTTGCTTGTGTTACTTGAATGGCTTTTGCTACTAATCTTTGTGTTGATGAATTCTCCCCTTTTACAAGATGCCACACTTTGCTTACCATGGTTAAATATATCTTTTTGCAGGTCTCTTTCTGGATAGTCCTGGCACCCAGGTTGATTCATTTTCTTTTGTTTTTCAGTGATATTAAGCAAAGGGATATCACTCAGGAAATTCTAAATTCCCAATCTGAATATGTATTTCAGCTGGTATATAAATATTTTGTGCCAGAAAGAGACGTTACATACCCTTCTCAAAAGCAATGAATTTCCAGTGGCATTACAGTAACTACAAAATGTAGTTTTGATACATGTTATTACATTATGACTTTAAATCAGCTGTAATTGTCACATTGGTTGATAAATTATTTATACAAAATCATACTCAACCCTCTGTGTAAATTACAATCTGTTTATTGATGACAGAAAACTAACCACTATTTGCAATTTTTTTTCCACATTGAGAAAGTTTTTAACTACTGTATGTAGCATGTAAATTATGTTGTATTAGTGCTCTTAAATCTTCCATGTATATTTTTGATGCTGAAGAGGCCATAATATGGAACTGCATGCATAAAAAGTATACACATTATAAAAACTCTATGATCTTATAGCATGTTCAGAATTAAGGAATCATCTGGTAGCAAAATGAATACACTGTGTTATATTAAACTGTTGTGTCACTGAACAAACTAAGAAAAACAAAATACTTTTAGAATATCAGTGTTTTCAGTTTCATTAGACCAACAGAAGAGAATATGTGCAAGATAAAGAACTTCATGGAGTAATGAATTCAACCTGTAGTCATTTGTTAAAGATTAAGATTTTCATATAGATGATACAGAAGTGTTTTACAATTTTTTTTTCAGTTTACTTCTACCGAAGTTAAGCATTCAATTTTATGTTTATTATTTTTTTTTCTGTCATCAGGAGTTATAAAACACATCATTCCTGCTGTGGCATCCACCAATGCTGTAATAGCTGCTGTATGCACAACAGAAGTTTTCAAGCTTGCCACCAGGTGATGTTGGTGTAGAGGTATTAATACTTTTCAGCAACGACAAGATTTTGCAAGTTCTAAACATGACTATAGTCAGTAAAGATATATTTACATACATTTTACAAATTTTCATTGGATTGTAAGGTTGTTTTACATAAAGAAATAGTTAATAACTTAACCCAATCACAACTTGTATATGGTGAACCTTTCAAGTGTTGAGTGCACACCTGCATATCACATTTCAAAATATAAGTGAGAAATACAATTTAATTGAATTTCACCAATATTTCATTGAAAAATATCTTGGGCTTGAAATTTTATCATTACATAATGTTTATTTAGTGTAATTGACAAAGAAAAAATAGTATTTCAACTTTCATTTGTGAGCAGCTCTGAGGAGTCTCACCTGTAAAAACTCGTTAATTCTGTTTAGAATTGTTTTGCCAATTTCAAAGTATAGATTTGTATATGCTAAGAAACTATATTCTTTGGAAATGTATAATGACTCGTATCTTGTTTTTCACATGATTTTCTTTCTCTTTTAAGGATTTTATTACTACAGCCCTTTGTTGTTACTTTTTTATGATGGTACAATATGTCATCTGAACAAAAACCCGGCCCCAAATTAAAATCGTTACTAAACAAAAATTATTTAGAATCACACAATACCAACGTCATTTACAAAATAACATGCAGTAACTGCCCAGACTTCTACATAGGAGAAACAGGAAGAAAATTTGAAACCATGTGTTTCACCGTTGCAGCTCAAAAAAC